TAAAGCATTAGAATATATAACTCCACAATCAAACTCACGTAATGTACTTCATCGTTGCGGTTTTTATTCCTTGTGAATTTTTGTCTGTGACAATAGAGAGAATTAAACTGAATTTAATTTAGCTTATTTTTTAAATCTTTGATAGACTGATTTTGCACACCATGCATGAATTAAATGATTTAAATTGCCTGTACTTGGCTATAATTTATTATAATATGCTGTTATATTTATAATAATTGTCACATCACGTTATTAAGGGGTTGCATGTTCCATGTTGTGCTTCTTCAGAGAAACGCTCATGCAAAAGGTACTTCTTTTATTTTAACAAATTATTCAGCATGTTTTTGATTCTTTATTTCTTTTTTTAAATTACAAGTTGAAATTTCTGTTTACATAAGAGAACATATTTTGACTGGAATAATTTGTTGATTAAGTGTAATAAGAGCATCTCTGTTTAAGAGACAGTTTCTTGCATTTCTGAGTTTTGACGGTGCATTTCAAAACAAATGTGAATTGGGAGAAAAAAACATTAATTTCGCCCTATCTGCCATTATCATACATGGCTTCTTCATAAGTGCTGATTTCAGTCTTTTATCAGTCGTGAGAAGCATTAAACAATCCACATTTGAAATGTAATCTGATAAAGGGATTTCTGTTCAATACATATCATTAGAAATTGAAGACAGGCACTTTTTCTGTTTATGATTATTATTTCTATTTTGCATATTTCCACACTGTAGCTATTTTTTAGTATGAATAGGCCTCCTCCTGCTATAGATAACATCCTCAGTGAACAGGAGCAGAAGACCCGAGAGCTGCACTAAATCTAATCAACTTCAGAAGTTCAGTCGTTATCAGTTCAACGAGTCGGTGTAGATATCGTTTATTTCGAATATATAGCCTACAACATTTCATTCATTTACGTCTTCGGGGATTTAAGAGTTTTCGAAGAGTGCGCATGTGCATCGCGTGCTGTAAAGCTTTTGGTTGATTCTGGCAAAATAACTGAGAGAACAGGCTGTAGTCCTCAGACGCTAATTCAAATCTCAAATGTGTTCATCACACCTGAGTGACATCATTAACCACCGTGGCTGAACGACAGGTTTGCGAGAACTCGGTTTCTGGATAAACTCGTATAAGTTCGCCAGCGAGAGGTTCGGGAACCAACACAGTCTCATGAAGATGCGTATCTATACCACGAGTGTCATTTCTCGTGGCATTTATACGCCAAAAGTGTTTTTTTCGTGTATGTGGTACGCACTAAAAAACGCTGGGTTAGGTTTAGGGGGGAGGGGGGTGGGGAGTTCGTGCGTTTTATACGCAAAAAAGTGCGTATCATATGTAGCCTACGCGAAAATTGGCGTATAAATGCAACGAGAAATGACATTCGTGCCATAGATACGAACTTTCATGAGATCGGGCTGCGGGAATTAACCCCAGATGAACTGGTGGACTCCGTATGGAGGTATGTTTGGGGCAAAACTACTGAACGCCTGTGACAGTGGAGTGTGTTGTTGTAGAGAATATCCACATGTGTGTATCAGTCAATCTGAAGTCACAGAGAGAAATGTTTTAAGAGTTGCACACTTTTTTATCTTCCACAAACACACCTTCCTTCATTGCAGATCACACAGAAACTCATACGCTCATGTTTTTTCTACAGTTGCTGCAATGAATATGGTGCAAAAGTCACGGAGAAATTTTGCTCATCTGCAAATCAGTGTGTGAATTCATCCGATGAGAGTTGCACACTTGTAGAATATTATTTCACAAATGTCTTGTATATTTTTCTAGCACAAACACAAGTACATCCCAGACAGCAAACTGACATTGAATCAACGTGGAAACGACGTCTCTCATGACATTGAAACAACGTTGATTTTGCTCATCGAATTAACGTTGAACCAACGTCAGACGCGGCATTCTTCAACACTAAATGAAAATCGAAAATTGGTTTGCTTTCATAACGTTGAAACAACTCGTTGATTTTAAGTTGATTTTCCGTTAGTTTTGAAAGAATGACGCGTCTGACGTTGGTTCAACGTTAATTCGATGAGCAAAACAATGTCAGATATCAACGTTGTTTCCATGTCATATTTCCACATTGATTCAATGTCAGTTTGCTATCTGGGATAATAGCTGCTTGAATCTGCCGCGACGAATCTCAAACACTGTTTTTCGCTTTCAAGTGACAAGTTTTGACCTCTTTTTCAACAAGTGCACCGTGAAATGTGGCGCAAAAGTCAGTTGTGCGTCTGTAGAGGCAGTGGGCGGAGCCTACATTAATATTCATGAGTTCTAGTTTCTCCTCGTGTGATTTGTAGAGCTGCTGCAATGAAGAATTAGAGAAGGTGTAACTGTTGTGTTGTGTTTGTGGAAGATGAAAAAAAGTCTACAAGTTTGCAACTTTTAAAACATTTCTCTCTGTGAGTTCAAAATTACTGACACACACGTGTGGCTACACACTCCAACACTGCCCCACTGCCCGTTGTTTTACTCCAAACATCTCTCCATAACTCAGAGCCAGGAGAAGATAACCGTAATTAGAAGTGACTTCTAAAGCCAGTGATCCATGCAGGTTATTAGTGTTGTCACGAAATGTTGCAGATGCTCCTGCGCATGCGCACTGCTCCTCTGCCGGCTCATGTTACAGTGTCTCTGAGACTGAAACCTGTGCATGCGATGGAGAGCCGAGGATCTAGACCTTATTCAGAGCAGCGCCATGACAGGTATGAAAGTGAGGCTGTGAGGGACAGACGTACCGTGTTTCCAATGGCATCTGCTGTAAAAAGCTGAATAAAGCTCCTAGATTACTTACAATTTTCCACAGCTTACATTGTCGGGAGTTTTTTGTCAACTGAAATTTCTTGGAAAGATATTTTTCCAGTGTTTCATGAGCGGAACAATCGGAAAACACATTAAATAACAGTACAGCCCATTGAAGAGATGCAAGTCTATCCCTCACAGCCTCGCTTTCATTCTCATTAAAAATCAAAGATGGCGCTGCCGTGAATAAAGGCGTATGAAAATCTGAATCCTGCGATCACACTGAACCAGTTTGGCCTTTCGACGGCCTGTTTAGTGTTGGTTGTGTTTATCCAGAAAAAATCACCAAAGACACATTCATACATTTCCCTGATAGTCACAGAGACGTCTAGTGGATGTGTGCGTTTACATCTGGAAGACGTATTTTTATAGCGTTTGCTCATCTGCAATACGTCTATATGGCGTTTCCTGTCAGATGTCAAATAGACGTTTAGAAGATGTCTTTAAGATGGTATGATTTAGCATGCATGTTAAACTGACGAGATGTCTATCAGATGTTATTAAACAGCAGATGCGTTCCAGATGAAGTGATCTTTAACCTCGTGTGTGTCTGCTATCTGGGTTATGAGGAACTGCTGAACAGGGGTGTGTTTCCCATACAACCACAATAACTCGCTGCTTAACTATTAACTATTATTTTAACTATTTTATTATTTCTATATTATAGTACAGTTTACAGTGGCGGTTCATATTAAACCGCGACGATAACAGTCATAACGGGATTATAAATCATTATATGACGATTATTTTTTTGTCCTCATACAGACTTAGAAAACTATAGCCTGTACCGCCCGAGAGAAGTTCAGGCTGACCCACTGAATCAATTATTTTAAAGGGACAATTTTTTTTTAAATTAAAGTATATTTAGGCCTTTTCATATACATTATTAAATGGTAACGGCTTTTAAAAGGAACTATTTAATTAAAGGCCTCTCATTATTAAGATTAATTATAAATGGCCTATTTTTCTTATAATTGTAAAAACGTTCTTCAACAATTCTCTTAAAATTATTAAACGCCTTCATGCAATAATTATATTAGGCTACCATTTATCTAAAATTCTAAATTATTCTAAAATGTGTTTTAAGGATTGCCGGACAAAACACAAAGATGCGCGCGCTTCTGCTGGAATCACGGGTTAGACCTTGAATATCTGTTTTTAAAGTAAACTAATTATATGTTTAAATCATAGCGCTTGTAGAAACCATTTTGCACAATTTTGACATATTGTTCGAATATGTTTTTAAAAGATTTTAAATCTTATTTTTAAGGTTTTAAGGTTTATCAGTTTAATTAATTGCCTCACATTGAATTGAATAATTCTTTCGTATTTTAATTTAATAATTGATTAAGGATTGTTAAATTACTCAATTAAAATATGTAAGAATTTTAAGGATTTCATCAATTCAATTTGATGTGATTTTACTATTAATTAAAATTGCTTAAACCAAAAATATATTTATATATATTTCAGTGTATGCCTACCTATTCTTCGGAAATGTTCACTGAGAAAAAAATATCATCTTTTGTGTTCCACAGAAAAAGGGTTTAATGATTGTTTTAATAACGTCGGTCTGTAAAACATTCTAACTTTCTATGCAATGACATGTGTTGTTGTTGACATTTTAAGTTGTTTGCAAAACGAAATCTACATATCAAAACATTTATTTCCGTTTCTCGACAGACTGCTCGTGCAATCTTAGACCAAACGCCTTGCGCTACTGTGTCCACGTAATTACCACACATATTCTTAATTAATAATGTGGTAGGCTGCATTTCTGTGGATATACTACTCAACAAAAAGGCGAAACCAATAGTCAAAACATAATTTAACTATTGTTTTATGTGTAAAATAATCACAAGAATCATAATAATGCCATGCAGGCTTGGTATTTTTTCTAATGATTTCCGCATGCAATTAACGGTAAAATTAGAAATTACATTTGAATTTGAGGTATTTATGTATATTTAGCAGTAAACAAATATTACAGCTAAAGAAACATGTTTCAAATGTTTTATTGCTGAACCACCATAAGCCAAAAATGCACGATATAAAGAAAATCTTTAATTTATTATTATTGTGATTAAATGCAATTTAATTAAATAAAAAGAAAAACTCATATTATGCCCATATTATACATTTTCAAATTTAAAATAGAGAGAGCTCTGTTAAAATCCAAGAAACAAACATTTATTGTTTATTAATTTAGTACAAATTCTTCATTTTTTAAATACAAAAGCGTTTTTCTTCTCTAGCGCTAATGAAGAATATCTTTTTTTTTAAAAGTGCAAAACTTTAAAGCAACAGTGGAAGGAGGAGTGATAATGCCACCGATTCAGCTGATTCCAGACCTGAGCATCCTGATAGAGTCACTGTTACATTAGCGGCCTGTTTTCAGAAAACTAAAACACAAAAACTTCCGTAAACTAACCCGAGCCTCAGACCAATGGACGCCATAAAGTGCTTTAGTTGTTTGCATAGTAATGTCAGCCTCATCTGTGAAATGCGTCTCTAGCACGGCGTGCAATTTATTCGCGAAAACGAGTTTTTCCGTGCATATGAAACGCAGTTTTAGCGTGCATACACGCACTTTATGGATAGGCCTATAACTTCTACATGCAGGCTATCATCATAAACACGCAAAAACTCATTTCCGCGTACAAATTGCAAGATAAACAAGAGACACATTTCATGATATCAGGTTAGAATTGTGAGAGTTTCTTTTTTGTTAAAATAAAGTGGATTGTGTTTTTAGCCTATAGGCTATTCGTTTAGCTATCTATTTATTCCTAATATATAGGCTACATTTTAAATGTTAATTCGTTTGTTTTTCGTAAGCTTGAAAATCATTTATTCATGCAACTTGTGTTTAATTTGTAGCTATAAGATTTATATGTAATGTAATATTTAACAAGCTGAGTGCAGACTGGTCTAGTGGTCCGAGGTTCTCCTTAAGTTTCATTTATCAGAAAAACACGAGTAAAGTGGGCCTAGGGCCTAGACTACACGTAAAAGAAGTGCTAACATCCCTAGATTAAACACTGTTTGACATGCATGCATGCCTCGGTGAGCTCCACATAATCATACATCCCATATTCCACATGAGTGTGTAGCAGACTGTATCTGGGACCTGAGAAAAACGAAAGTCTTGGTGTGGGACTCAGACTCGCAGTTCATCACTGTTGAGACCCGACACACCAACACAGGCCTGGACTCAGGTCTGTAGATGGATCATAATGGATCATGAATGGATACAAGGACATCAAATACATCTAAGAAATAAAATATAAATTAACTCGACTTCGAACACTCTAGTGTTATAAATAATCGCATTATTTTGGCTATTTTTCCACCAAAAGGTTAGAAAGCACGCGCTTTCGAAACATATAAAAACAGCTCAACAATGATCGTGAATTGCATGGAAGCATTTAGTCTGTATTGAAGCTTGTTTTCGCAACGGATTATAGTTTTTATCTCACACTTCTGACTTTTCCCCTCGCACTTCCGAGTTTATATCTCAGAGCTAATGGTGAAAAACAACTCAGAATACAGTGTTAAAAATAAAGGTTCTTAAATGGTATCGATACTTCCAAGAAGAACATTTCACATGGAACCTTTCCGTTCCACTAAAGGTTCTTTAGATTATTAGAATACTCTTATTAAGATGTTTCATTTAAGAACTGTTCACTGAAAGGATCTTTGAGGAACCCAAAATGGTATGGCATCGCTTGGAAAACTCCCTTTTTGAACCTTTATTTTTAAAAGTACGGCTTAAACTCGCAATTGCAAGAAAAAAAAGTCAGAATTGTGCGATGAAGAGTCGCGAGGATTACCCCTTTCGGTAATAATTTGTCGGGGGTCGAAATTCGGCACAACAGCGGAAACAAGCTTCCGTGATTATAGTTTCAGCGCATCCCTCAGAGTGAGTCCGGGGAGAGCCTGTCCAGGCGGGCCGAGCCTGCAGGTGCGCCGCCGCAGAAGGAGGAGAGCGATGTCCTGAGGGAGTCTGAGAGTAAAGTCTGCTGAGAGCTGAAGGAGTTCTGCTGGAGGCCCGGAGGAGTGTGCAGGAACCCCGACAGTATCCCGCCGGGAGCCGAGCTCATGCCGAAACCGGGCCGAGTCGCGGGCTCAATCCCAGGACCGAAAGAACCGTAATGACCTTGATTCAGAAATCCGTGCGACGTTCCGTTGTAATGTGGATGGTGTAAAGACAATAAAGGCGATATTTGCCAGTACAGAGGATTATTCACTGTCTCGTTTATTCCCAGTCCCAATGGGGAAAACCGAAGTCCTCGCTTAATCGCCAGTTTCCCTCTGGAAGTCGCCGAGCGCCTCCGGAGTTTCCCCGTGGTTCCCCCGATAAACACATCATCGCTCGAGGGGTCCAGCATCCAGTAGTTGCCCTTCCCAGGGTCGTCGTAATGTCTCGGCACTTTAACGAAGCATTTATTGAGGCTCAGATTGTGCCGGATGGAGTTCTGCCAGCCCTGCTTGTGTTCCCGGTAAAATGGGAAGTTTTTCGTGATGAACTCGTAGATTCCGTTCAGCGTGAGTCTCTTCTCCGGGCTTTGCCTGATTGCCATCATGATCAGCGCGTTGTAGCTGAACGGGGGTTTGTCGAGCTTCGCGGGTTTGTCGGCTTCTTCTGCATCTTTGAGTTTCCCCGAGTCGGGCTCCATCTCCACCGGCTCCGGAGAGGGGTTCGGGTCGGTGACCTTCTGCAGTGTGCTCTTCTCTGGATGAGTCGTATCGTGTTTATCACTCTTAGACGGAAGCAATAGACTCGTGATACTGAAAGAACTCAGTTTTTGCAGAGTCGTTGATTCTTTCTGATCCATGTCTCTTTATCAAACCGCAGCGTGAGTTTGTTTGGAAATAAAGGTCAGGACATCATCTGTGAGAAAAAGCACTTGGAGAGGAGAAGGAGAGCCAGAACTGGAACAGAAATTCGCTAATTAAGGAGGTTCCCTGATGTCGTGTCGTCACTGAAGGGGTGGAGCCTCGACTGAGTCGGTTGATCCTGATCAGATACGCGCTCAAAGCTAGACAAGTCAATAGTTTTATCATTCCATGCACTCTCTCTTCTCAGTTTTACAAGCAGCATGGACACTTGTCAAGATTTCTCGGGAGTCAAACGTTTGTGCCAGAGAGAAGAACCGCTGCTTTTTAACTCTGCATTGAATACGGACATTTTCAAAGACATTTCATTCAGGAAAAGTGTATGGGCTGCAAAAATCACAAAAATCGGACACTTACCTGAAGGTGAATGGATATCAGCTGAGACTTTTGCTGGAAAATTGGGAATAAGATCAGTTCGAGTGGCAACGAAAATTTTGACTCAGATAATTGAGTCTTTGCCACAGAATTATAGACTTTCCTTATACTGGAGAGCTGTACATTTGTGACTTCCCAGAATTAAACATTGCAGTGGAGACTGAAAGCTGGGAAGAAACTGAGGGAGGAATTTTATCTTTTAAGACACCTCAGTTAGGAGTTTTCAGTAATGCAAAAAAGGTGCTGTAGCCTACACATTGTGTGTGAAGATACTGCATCTTAATGCTCTTACAATCGTAAAAGAGTCTAAATGGTAAGAGGTGTTTGGACTACAGGTGTTTCCCCCAAGGGCAGCTGGAGGACCTTGTACAAACCTCCTATTGAAAATGATCTGGAGATCTTCATTGGAGGATAGTTCATGGTATAATAGCCACGAACAGACACAGCACGTCTTGATCCACAGGTGAGGGAGGGATGCCCTTTCTGTGGGATATCAGAAACTGACTTTCATTTGTTTTTGGATTACTAGATTACAACTGTTGTTTCCAATAATTGATGGGTGGTGTCAGACGCTGCAGGAGAAGTTTACTCACCTATGTATTTTATATATGGACCTAAGTATAAAAAGAGTAAATAGGAGTCCCATGTCTTAATGAATTTTTTACTTGGACAAGTTAAAATGGCTATTTGGATGTCACATAAAGAAAAACTGAGTGGTAATGAGCCCTGTGATGTTAGGGCTTAATAAGGTCACGATTAAAAATTGAGTACACATATTACAAATTGGTCAATGACCTTGAAACTTTTAAATCCAAATGGGGTGTGAGCCAGTGTATTTGTGACGTTGATTACAATGGAAATTTAATTATTTTTTTAAAATGTGTTTGTTTTTTATGATGTGATGTCTTGAAATATGATATTTCACTGTATTTATGATTGGAATGATAAGGGAAGGAAAGGAAGGAGAAAAGAGAAGGAGAAAGGGAAAAACGATATATTTTTCTAAGTGATTTTTAAAGTCAAAGTAAAGTCTCTCTCTCTCTCTGTCTCTCTCTCTCTCTCACGTGGTGCATGCTGGGAGTTTGTGGGTGAGAGTAGCATGGGCGAGAGTGAAGTTGTGAAAGTTCACCTGTTTTTTTTTCTTTCTTTTTTCCTACTTTTACATAGTGTTATTGGAAAAAGTGAGTGTAGTGTAAGAGAAGAGGAGGATGGCATTCAACATGGAGACGCCATCTGTTTCAGGTGTAGGCTATGCCGCCGGAGGACGGCGTGACGGTTGCGGTGGGGGAGAAGGTAGGCCATGATGAGAATATTTCCTCTGCTTCCAGAATGAATAGAGCCGTAGTCGGGTTTTTTTTAAACAACAACAACTTGTAAATCAAGTGATCGAAAGTGGGCTAGTCATTAAAGATGAATTGGTGCAAGTTACACCGCTGCATAACGCATCTAGTAGAATAGTGATTTCGAATGTGCCGCCGCATCTCTGATGACGTATTGGAGCGTGAATTAACAAAATTGCGAGTCCGTTCAGAGCGATTTCTCTGGGGTGTAAGAACCCGGCTTTGAAGCATGTGATGTCTTTTAGGAGACAGGTTTACATGTTTTTAGAATCACCAGATCGTACACTTAACGTTTATATTAAACATGAAGGGGAGCATATGATTTATGCAACTACCGGAAGTTTGCGTTGTTTTGAATGCGGTGATGTCGGCCACAAACGGCAGATGTGTCCGCATAAAGATCGTGGACAGGAAAACAATGTCGCAGTGATAGAGGCTAATGCTCAGGATACTTCAGACGGGTCAGGAGGAGATTTCAGGCCTCGCGGAGGTAAGACAGTCAGAGGAGGTTGATGTGGTTTTAGCGGCGAATACTTCAGAGATACCTGTGGTAGCGGCAACCAGTTCAAATAATGATGTCAGTGATGAGATGGTAAAGAGTAAAGAACACGTGTTTGAACAGAGCAGTGAATGTGACGAGAATGTGTACCCGAGTCCTGGTGTTGGTCATTATGTGTGATGCAGAGAGTCGAGCAGAGGATGCTGCTTTGTCAGATGAGTCTGCTTCTGTGTAGGACAGGGACTCCCGGAAAGCAGGTTGATGTCAAAGAATTGTTTCCTGATGTAGAGAAGTTTGTCAAGTCAGTTACAATTCTTCAGAAGACTGTGGGGGTTGATCTGCTTAGTGAAAGAAGTGGTTTTGTCTAAAGAAGCACTTGACTACTGTTAGAAAGTACCTAAAAATTGAGAAAAAGAAAACATCAAATAGCCTACTGTTGTAAACAATCTTTTTTTCATGCATCACATGGTGTCTTTTTCTTTTTTGCTCTTTTCTGCCTGTTTGTTTTTTCTTCCACTATTTTCTATGGAGGCATTGAGGGTTGGCTCACTTAACATTAATGGTGGAAGGGATGAATGTGGATGGATGAAAGCGTGCTCTGATTTCTGAAATAATTGAGCAAAAATAATTAAATGTTGTTTGGATTATGGTGGAAGGGGCAATATGTGCTTAGTCATAAAACAAATCTGAGTGCTGGGGTGGCAATCTTATTCTCTTCAGATATAAGAGTTAATGTTTTAAAAACAGACGAACCTTTGGAAGATTATTAGTAGTAGTAAAGGCTGATATTGGTGGAGTTTTTATTTTTATTTTGTAAATGCATATGCACCTAATGTGGGGCAGGAACGAGTCATTGATTTTTTCAGTGTGTTAAGAAATGCTTTAAATTTGTGTGCTGATGGTAATATAATCATGGGAGGTGATTGGAACTCCACTGAGAATTTTACTATCGATCGCACAAGTGAAGAACCTCATCTTCAGTCTTTATCTCAATTATCAAATATAATTAGATAATTTGATCTTTTAGATATGTGGCGAATTAAACATCCTCAAGTGAGACAATATTGGATTAAAATGACAGATAGAGTAAGTGCTGCCCGATTAGATAGGATCTATATGTCCAATCATCTTAGTAGTCGTAGTATTGATTGTTTTATCATTCCAGTGGGGTTCACAGATCTTCATTTAGTTTATCTTGCTATAATTATGTCCAAGTGTACAAAAAAAGTCTTCTTATTGGCATTTTAACACCAAATTGCTTCAAGATCCTAATTTTTTGTAAACATTTTGTAAACATTTTGAGACTTTTTGGCAACAGTGGAGATTGTGTAAAACTAGCACTTTTAAAACAACTGTGGGAATAGGGAAAACAAACATTAAATTGTTTTGTTTGCAATATACTGCTAATTCCACTATTAAATTAAGAGGAATGATTCAGTCAATTGAAAAGGATATATCAAAGATGGAGGTGGATCTAATTAATAGATATGATCATAATCTGTTTAACAACCTGCAAGAAAAAAAAGAGAACTGGGGCTTTATTTGAATGAAAGGGTGAAAGGAGCTCTAGTAGGGTCTCGGTTTGTCTCTGTTAATGACATGGATGCTCCTAGTGCTTATTTTTTTAATTTGGAGCACAAAATGGCACAACAGAAACAGATGTTATGTCTTCGCCTTCCTAATGGGAGGGTGACCAGTAATATCACGGAGATGAGGAATCATGCAGTGACTTTTTATTCCAGTCTTTATACTGCTGAACAGCTCAATTCAAGACTCTAAGACTGCCTTGAACACTGAACTATCTCTTCAAGAACTCACCACTGCAGTCGGTCAACTTGGCATTGGGCGATCTCCTGGTATTGATGGGTTGTCGTCTGAATTTTACAAGCATTTTTGGAACTGTATTGGTGAAAACTTATTTGTAGCAAAGATAGTTGTTTGCCTATATCTTGTCAACGGGCTGTGCTATCTTTATTGCCAAAAAGGGAGATTTATCATTATTAAAAAATTGGAGACCTGTTGCGTTACTAACCACAGATTACAAAATTATGTCTAAGTGTCTCGCTAATAGACTTTGGTTTTGGTCGCTAATAATTTAGTGGCTTCTACTCTTTGGCATAAACTGTGTGTACTGCAGCCGCCTACAGGACTAATCCAAAGTATTCAAAGGAGGTTGGTGACTTTTTTCTGGTCTGGACAGCACTGGATTCGATCAGCCGCTCTGTTTCTTCCAGTACAAGAAGGCGGGCAGGGTTTGGTGGATATTAAGTCCAGGATAATGACGTTTCGCCTACAAACAGCGCAAAGACTTGTATAATGTAAACTCTGCCTGGATGGACACTGCAATAGCTCTTTTAAGGAGGACAGGAGGCATGGCTTTTGACAAACATTTGTTTTTAATGCAATTGCAAGAGAGAGAAATGGTGGATCTCTCCCCTTTCTACAGAACTGTGCTGGAGGCCTGGAAGGTCTTTTTCGTATCAAGACCATCTAATACACCTACTGGTCATTGGCTGTTGGAGGAACCATTGTTTTTTAACTCCTTTTTATCTTTGAGACTGCTGTCATCTGAAAATGTGCGAGCACGACTGTTAGTGGCTGGGTGCAGTAAGCTGGGACATATCTTGAGGAATAATTTGCAAGACTTGAGCCAAAGAAGTGGTGTGAAATCAATCCGTTTTTTGCAACAATGCATTGCAGAGATTATAAGGACTTGAGCACTGATTACCAAGTTTTTTTGAAAAACCCAGATGTCCTAAATGAATGGGTTGAAGGGTAGGGTAATTTTTTCCCTCAGTTGTTGTAAGCGCGGCTGTGGAAGACTGAGTTGAAGATGAAAGCTGTTTAGTGACGCTGAAAACACCAGTTCTGGACAGTTTTGATTCTGCTGGGAAGAAATCTCTATACTTGAAATGTGTTAAAGTCTCTAACATGCAACTTTTAAATGGAGTTCCTTCAACAAGATGGACTTTTTTGGATCAAGAAGATTTTTTGGATCTGTTTTTTCCACTAAAGGCGTACCCTGTACAAATCTCCGATTGATAAGCAGACCGGTGACCTCCAGTGGAGGATTGTACATGGGGCAATAGCTACAAACAGACATGTGGTACACTTCAATCCTAGTGTTGGGGTGGGTTGTCCTTTTTGTTCTGAAACAAAGTCAATTTTTAACCTTTTTGTGCAGTGTTCACGATTGGGTAATCTTTTTGATTTTTTAAAAATGAGTTTTTTTGTCCCTGGGGGGAAGATTTCTCTTTTCAATTGTTCATTTTTGGGCCAAAGTACTCATTTCAAAAGAAAAATGTATATGTTTTAATTAATATTTTATCTGGCACTGCAAAATTGGCTATTTGGAAGACAAGAAAAAACAGCCTGTTGGTGCAAAGGTCAATAAGCTTTGTGTCGATGTTTCTAGCTATTGATGAGGGAGGTTGTCATAGTACTGGTGGGCCACTCTTGGTAGTACTGGTTTCATTGCCTGCAAGTCGTTGAATTTCCTGAGAGTAATTGGCAATTGGGTAATTCTTTAATAAGATTCCTCCTTTCTCTTATCTCTCATATACGGGACACACAATTAACACACGCTCGACCATTTCTACTTCTGGCATCACACACACACACACACACACACACACCTGTATTATGATTCCCCATGATATTGAGAATCTCTGCTCTACTTATATTATAGTGATTAGTGATTTTACTTTTCTTCATGCTCTTTTGTATCTTATGATAGTATCTCCCAGTATGAGTATCCCAAAACTACTGCCATTGTCCATTGCATGGATCTTCATTCTGGATCTTCATTCCCTGTAATCCAACTTGTCCCGCACAAACCCAGTCAATGTCCGAAGCTGCCAGTAGACGTCACTTCTGTTAAGACGCCACAGGAATGGCTGTAAGCTCTGTAGTTCCACCATTGAATCAGAACAAAGGATTACTTTACCCAGAGTCTTATAACACACTGTGAGGAACAGAAGTGTTGGCATGTTTACAGAGCATCTTGAAAATACGTTTACATGCATAGCCTATATATGTGCATCTTATTAGTGTTCTAGCGATTATGATTAAGTACCAAACAAAACACAGTGTCATTGGGAAATTGAAGTCTCTTATGGAGAAATCACTCAATACAATCAAATCAAAACGGTTTAATTTGACCAGTTTCATTGAAGCATCTAATATCCGCACACCTCTTCCTCACAGCTGCAGGAGAGAGAGAGAGAGAGAGAGAGAGTGCAGTTTCTGAACATGAGCACAGCGACCTCTACTGGACACTCCGGCACACGAGTGAGTCCTGTTAGGAATACAACCATATCAAGTTAAAAATATTTATTTTTTTCCACACTTGTTTGATTTCTTACTGACATGTTAATTTAATTAATTGCTGTGCCATAGAATATCTCATTGCAAATCCCATGTAACATATTTAAGGCCATATTCATTTGAAAAAATAAGATAGTTTCTCACAGAATAAACAGGTTCCCGCTCCCACTAGTGGACGAGTGAGCCTACAGTGAGTAAATAAATACTAAATAATTCATTATTCGCTATAATTAGCCTACAACATTACATTTTCCAAATTTAAACTGGACGTTGTATATCCTGGTTCTGCAGTCTACTTAACCTCTTTCCTCTTTACAGATAATCTGACAACTTCTGAAATTACATCGAGTCCCTCTGTATCATGATAGTGAGCGTGTCTTATATTTTACGCATGCGCAGTGATGACTTCAGCCTTTCAGATGTTTTGACGTGGACGACGAGCAACTTTTGTGAAACCCTTGAAAACGCTATTGTGGACGGAGAGCGTTTTACGGATTACCTATTGCAGTCACGGTCGCAAAAATGTGCAAATCTCCTGTCGCTGTGAAGAGAATATTATATACTAGTTATACTTTATTATTATATACTATATACTTTTCATACTAGTTGTTCAAGTCGGAATGAGAGTGTTTGCTCATCTGCAAGACGTCTATAGGACCTTTCCT